CCATTATCTTGGGATTCTTCTCCTGCCTGTATGCCTATGATTTGTTAGTTTGGTCTTTTTATGGTGTCACACCATTCCTGCATATTCCATTCTTGTGAGTTCTTAAATTTTTCATAATCTTGGCTTGAGTGCTCTAGTTCATCCACTTTATCTTCCAGTCTTGATACTCTGTTTCCATTTCATTCATCCTATTGGTGAGGCTTCCTCCTGTCATTTCTAATTGCTTTACTGAATGTTTTACTTCCTTCTTCATTTCAGCCTGAGTATTCTTCAGTATTTCTAACTCTTCTGAATTCATTCAGAAGTTTATCCCTATCTTCCTTCAGTTCTTTGATTTCTTTTTTTGTGTGTTCTTTAAATTCACTGAATTCTTTTATAATGTTTATAATTGTTCTTTTGAGTTCCATGTCCTGCATTATCTCTAAGGGGTTCTCATTGTACTCTCTAGAGGACTATTGGTATTTGGTGGTGGTGTGTTATTTTGTTTTTCATGTTTTTTTTTGTTCTTTTGAGTTCCATGTCCTGCATTAACTCTAGGGGATTCTCACTGTTCTCCTCTAGAGGGCTATTTTATTTGGTGGGATATGTTATTTTGGTTTTTCATGTTATTATTTTTTCTCTGTGAATTTGACATGTGAATTTCTTTTTCAGTTTCTGATTCTTGTGTGAGACTCAAGCCTCCAAGTTTAGGTCTTCTTCTTTTTGTGAACTTTATGTGTCTTTGTGGTTTAATTTTTGGGCATGAATCCCTGGTTCCTCTAAGCTTCCAGTTCTCTCTTTTGATTTTGTATTGGAGTGGCCAGATTGCTTTTGTCTTCAGGAGTTCCCACAGAGGCCCAAGTCAGATGAGGTTCAGATGCTCTCAGGCTTTCTCCTAAGTTCTGGATCCCTCAAGGATAAATTTCACCTCAGGAATTTGTGGGTTAGACTGGCCTGGGAGCCTGGCCCAGGAAAGATGCCAGTCTAGGGCAGCTGGTGGGCATGCCACCCAGAGATGCAAAGGAAGATGGGGGTGGGAGGCATCTCCAAGGGCCCCTAGGGACTGCACTGAGGAGCTGGGTTGGTCTGGATGCAAAGGACAAGGAAGAGGAAAGGTCAGCCCCAATGTCCAGGAAAGAGGCTGTAGGATTGTGCAGACCCAGGGAGGCAGAGGGAGGTGAGGGTGGGTTAGGCTCAGAGTGCCCCTGGGAACCTGAGAAGGAACTGAGTTGGTCTGGATGCACAGGATCAGGAAGAAGCAGTGGTGGTTCCCCTGGTGTCTGGGAAGCCAAGACAAGGAATGGCACAGGGCCCAGGCTCGGAATAGAGACTGGTAGGGGAGATGGGAGGGTGAGTGAGGCTGGCGGAATCAAGGCACGGAGGGCAAGATCGACTTACCCTGGCAAGAGAGGCCTGCGGGTTGGAGAGAGGCCTGTGGGTCCAGCAGGCCCAGGGAAGCAGAGGGCTGCTGGTAAGATTTTAAGGAACTATTTATAATGAATAAAAACTATCTCTATGATTGTCGAAACTCTGTCACTCTCTTATTTCCTTCCAGCTTTCAGTCTTTATAAAATTCTATAATTACTTGGCATTGTGTCTGCAATTTCTTGTCATTATTATAAGCTCTTTTCATAAATGCTATATAATCTTAACAATGTATTTATCAGTCAACAACATATGTTTAAGTTAAGTTTATCCCCAATTTCCCTAGTCTTGCCTGTACTATAGGATGGTAAATATGCAATCCACCACTCTATCTCTCATTTTCCACTTACGGTAGCCTTCTATCTCAACATCTCTTAATTCTACAATTCTACACAACTACACTCTGCAGCATCTTATTAATATAGAGCAACATAAATACCATCCCATAGTGAACTTACCTTTTATGTACTTTCTGAAAACGTTTTGTCATGATTTCTTTCTGATACAGAATTAGAGGTAACTTTACAAGTTAAACTGAACTTTGCTAATAATGCAGAGATCAAAATTCCACATTTTTTGACCTTATATTATTAAGTGAAAAATATTAACATTATCTAAACATCTCAGCAATCTACAACACCAGTGAAGACTCGAGGTTGACATTCCATATTATGAGAGTACAGAGAAGTAACTACTGTATTTTTATCAAAAGTTCAATGCAATTCAATGCCCGAGGCTAACTTGTTTTGTTTTTCATAATTGGATATTCCATACATAGAACAATCCAGAATAGAGGAAATATCCACATATATGTAATTATCCCTCTCTTACTGCTTGTCAAATAACATGTCAATTAATGTGTTTTAAAGTAAAAGAAAATAAGCTATCTGAGATCTAAGTAAAACTCCCCACAAGAAAACAGATGAATACAGACAGGTCACAGTTTTTATCCAAATGCTTTGTGCCAAAGTGAATATGGTCAGAAGTACAGTTTCTTGGCAACATCTAAGAACACCAGTGCCTGGAAGAGCTTGCATTACTAAAATAAAATATCAAAATGATCTTACTAGCGGAATAACATAAAAAAATCAAATCTGGGGCTGAAGAGATGGCTCAGAGGTTAAGAACACTGACTATTCTTGCAGAAGACCCAGTTTGAATCCCAGCACTCACATGGCAGCTAACAACTGTCCATAACTCCAGTCCCAGGGCATCTGGCAGCTTCTTCTGACTTTCGTGGGCACTGCACGACATAGGTGCACTTACCTACATGGCAGGCAGTACACGCATACACATAAAAATAATAAATAAAATTTGATAAAAAGTTTTAAAAAATCAAGTCTTTGTCATAAGTAAAAGACCAGAGATCCTGAGTAAATGTAATTGTGTGAAAGTTAATGTCTGGGGACACTAACTTGACAAAGTGGGCCTTAACACAGATGACAGAGTATATGGGTTCCAGAGGGGATGTCAGAGTATATAGGAGGGTACTGGTGGGAATGGGGATATAAGGATGAATAGAATTGCTTGAGATGTTCTGTATGAAATACACAATTCAATTAAAAAAAATTTAAAAACACATAGGAAAATGAAGATAAAATATTTACAATGAACATATTTTTAACTAATTCCCATCTATTATTTCCTCTGTCTACATTAATACTAAAATGAATGCTTGATATATCTGTTAGTTTATTTTTTAAAATATCACTTACCAGTGCCTTTATAATATTTTGTACAGTTGCCATATTCAATATCCTCTTTCTTAATGTCAAATTGAGGCAAGGCAATTTTTTCCAACTGAACAGGATCCCCTGACTGCCAGATAAACCGCAAATCATCGGTTGTGTAACCAACTATAAAAAAGTAAATATGTTAGATTGAAATATAGTCATCAATTCATTATTTTAATAATCAACGTTAAACATAGAAAAGGTAAGGAAGTATGCATTCTCCTATGGAACTATAATTTTAAATGCACACTTATAAAATCTATGGTCATTCCTACAACATGAACACAGGAGTTACATGTAATCATCCTAAAGAAGGAAGGAGTTTCAATAATCAACAAGGTGTTAACAGATCTCAAGCCATTATGTTCAGTAACTTCTCTCTGTTTCATCATTTATAACTCTTATCAATAAAAAGGTGGCTAATTAAGATGTAAGCTCTGCACATGTGCCCACTTACAATCATGTAGGATGTCCTAAACTTAAAAAATTATTTTATTGAGCTTTTAAACTTTCATACATTTGCCACTCAAATCCCCATCCATGCCTCCCTCTATTCCCCCACTGAACCCTGTGCACTCTGCCATACATGCTGAGTACTATTCATGCAGATTTTTGTACCCAAATATCCTTTCAGTGTAAATGCATCCACTGGAGTCTAGACAGCCCATCCAATGGTCATATGTAAGTCATACTCTCCCTCACTCAGCAACAATCATTCTCAAATAGTTCTCTATCTAGTGCTGGCCTGCCACCTATTTCTCACTTCCCCTCATGTAAGTTTTAAAATAAATCACTGCAGTGTTCCTTAAGGGATTTGTGTCATGGCAAAACAGCAATAAGACCGTTTATCACATGGCTGTTATTAAAGTACCCAGAAGAACATCACTGGACTTAGTAACTTGCTACAATTCAAGGACTACACAATGTCCACCGTCAGATCTCAAAGAGGATCTATTTTTCAAAATTCAATTTTATTGTGTCAAATAATAGTGCATCTAGGAAAATGTAGAATTTGGTATTAAAATATACTGATTCTTAGCCAGGAGTGGTGACACATGCTTTTAATCCCAGCACTCAGGAGGCAAAGGCAGGGGTCTACATAGCAAGTTCCAGACTAGCTAGGGCTACAGGGGGACCCTGTGTCAAAAAGGAACCAAGCAAACAAACAAAAACATTGCTATCTATAGTACTGAAACCTTGTATACATTTATATAT